GATAGGTGCAGCAAACCACCATGGCACATGTATACCTATGTAACAAACCTGCACGTTCAGCACATGTATCCCAGAACTTAAAGTAAAAAAAAAAATACACACACACACACACACACACACACACACATATATATAAAATTTGTAATAAAAAGGTAAGAGCTACCCAAAAAAAAAAAGAACCCAGCTAAAACCATAATTATCTAGAGTAGTTAGCGATCCAGCACTCATGCCCAAGGCTGCAACCTCTGGAGGGCACTAATAAACCAGAATTATGTAATTATATAAGCAATTATATAATTTGTAACTCCTTATAAAAACAGTATAATTGCTTATTTCTTATCCTTTCTTCTCTTAACTGGTCTTAAAAGTAATGGCATAAAACAATATGTACATAATTGTATTGCTGGGAAAAATAAAGAATCTGATTTTAAAATGGGCCGAAGATCTGAATACCTATTTCTCAAAAGAAGACATACAAACACTCAAGTACATGAAAAAAGTATATGAAAAAATGTTCAACATTACTTACATTAGGGAAATGCAAATCAAAACCACAATAAAATACCTCATCTCAGTTAAAATGGCTTTTATTAAAAAGACAAGAAATAACAGATGCTGGCAAGGATGCAGAGAATGAGGAATATCCACACACGAGAAATGCCCATCCAGGCCCAGATGGTGAATTTTACAAAACAATTAAAGAAGACTTAATACCAGTCATTCACAAACTTTTCAAAAAAAGCAAGCACAACTTTCCAATCTGTTCTGAGGCCTGTATTACCCTGATACCAAAATCAGACAAAGACATCACAAGGAAAAAAAACTACAGACCAACATCTCTTACGAATATAAGTTCAAAAATCCTCAACAAAATGTAGCAACCCAAATCCAGCAGCATATATAAAGAATGATACACCATGACCAAGTGGATTTATCCCAGGGATGCAAAGTTGGCTCAACATATGAAAATCAATTAATATAATACACCATCTTACTAGACTATAGGGGGAAGACACGTAATTCTCTCAAATGATACTGGAAGAGCATTTGACAAAATCTACACTCTTTCATGATAAAATACAAAGAACAAACTAGGAATAGAAGAGTTTCCTCAACTTGTTAAAGAGCATCTATAATAAATTCATAGCTAACATCATACTTAATTGTGAAAGATTGAATCCCCCCCCTCGATATCAGGGACAAGACAAGTATATCCGCTCTTACCACTCTATCCAACATAGCACTGGCGGTTCAAGCCAGGAAAGTTAGGCAAGAAGAGAAAATGAATTTAGACTGAGAAAGATAAAGTAAAATGATTTCTATTTGCAAATGACATGATTTTGTATGTTAAAAATCCTAAGGACCAGGCACAGTGGCTCACTCCTGTAATCCCAGCATTTTGGGAGACCAAGTGGGGAGGATCACTTGAGGTCAGAAGTTTGAAACCAGCTTGGTCAACACAGCGAGATCCCGTCTTTATAAAAATAAAAGCATAAAAAAGTAGCCAGGGATGGTGGCACACGCCTGTAATTCTAACTGCTCAGGAAGCTGAGGCAGGAGGATCACTTGAGCCCAGGAGTTCAAAGCCGCATTGAGCTATGATCATGCCGCTGCACGCCAGCCTGCGTGATAGAGTGAGATTCTGTTTCAAAAAAGAAAAAGAAAAAAAGAAAAAAAAAACCTAAGGAAGCTACTAAGACCTAAAGACTAATAGAAAAATTCAACAGGGTTGTAAGATACAAGAGATCAACATGTAAAAAGCAATTGTATATACTAGTAAAAAAACCATCTAAACATGAAATTAAGAAAATAATTCCACATACAATAGTACCAAAGAGAATAAAATACTTATGAATAAATTGAACAGAAGAGGTGCAAGATTTGTGCACTAAAATAACAAAACATTGTTGAAAAG